TGAAGAGGCTGTCCCAATGAGTGTTCTTGACATTTTTGTCAAAAATCAGTTGGCTGTAAACATGTGGATTGATTTCTGGGTTCTCTACTCTGTTCTATTGCCCTATGTGTCTGTTTTTATGCAATACCATGCTGTTTGGTTATTAGAGCTCTGTAGTATATTTTGAGGTCTAGTATTGTGATACCTCTAGCATTGTTGTTTTTGCTCAGGATTGCTTTGGCTAATTGGAGTCTTTTGTGGTTCCACACAAATTTTATAATTTTTTTTTTCTATTTCTGTGAAAAATGTTATTGGTATTTCAAAATATATGTCTTCCAGTTTAGAAATTCTTATATATGCTTGGCTTACTGTGTGGTTAAATTTTTTATTGAATTCATTAAGTTCTTTGACTCTGAGATTTTTGTCTTTTTTTAAAAGAAATATCTTTTTGTTGTTGAATTTCTTATTAAAATTATGAAATATTTTTCTGATTTTGTTGAATTGTCTATATTTGTGTTTTTTCTTTTTTGTATCTCACTGGATTTTTTTTGGTCATTGTTGTTTTTGAGACAGGGTCTCACTCTCTTGCCCAGGCTGAAGTGCAGTGGTGTGATCATAGCTTACTATAACCCCAAACTTCTGGGCTCAAGCAATCCTCCCTCCTTGGCCTCTTGTGCTGTGTGTCACCATTCCCAGCTAATTATTATTTTTTTTTTCTGTAGAAATGTGGTCTTCCTATGTTGCCCAGGCTGGTGTCGAATCCCTGGCCTCAAGTCATTCTTCCATCTTGGCTTCTCAAATGATTGAGATTACAGGCATGAGCCACTATGTCTGGCCCCATCGAGTTTCTTTCTTTTCTTTCTTTCTTTTTTTTTTTTTTCTTTTTGGATACTGAATATCACTCTGTTGCCCAAGCTGGAGTGCAGTGGTGCAATCTGGCTCACTGCAACATCTGCTGCCCAGGTTCAAATGATTCTCTTGCCTCAGCCTCCTGAGTAGCTGGGATTACATTACAGGTGCCCACCACCATGCCCAGCTAATTTTTGTATTTTTAGTAGAGATGGGGTTTCATCATGTTGGCTAGGCTGGTCTCAAACTCCTGACCTCAAGTGATCTGCCCATCTCGGCCTCCCAAAATGTTGGGATTACAGGCATGAGCCACCATGCCCATCTGTTCAAGTTTCTTTATTATTTTGAGTTGTTTTTCTTTCTGGCATTTCTTACATTTCTTATGATTATTGTCTGTTACTGGAGAATTATTGTTTTCTGTTGGAGGTGACATGTTTCCCGTCTTTTTCATGGTTGATGTATTTCTACATTAATTTCTACATATCTAGTGGAAAATCATCTTTTCTATTTTTACGGAATACGTTTTCAAGGGAAAAGTTTATTTGTATGAATGGGTCTTGGGAGGCTGAGGAAGGAGGATTGCTTGAACTAAGGAATTTGAGACCAGCCTGGGGAACATGAGGGAAATCCCATCTCTACAAAAAATACCAAAAATTAACCAGGAGTAGTGGTGTGCACCTGTAATCCAAGCTACTTGGGAGGCTGAGGTGGGAGGATCACCAGGTCCAGGAGGCTAAGGCTGCATTGAGCTGTGATAGCTCTGCTGTACTCCAGTCTGGGTGACAGAGTGAGACCCTTTCTCAATAAATAAGTAAAAAATAGAAAATAAATTCAGTACTTGACTTTAGATTAGATCCTGTGCTGGAGAGAAAAAATGCTACAAAGGAATTTATTAGACAAACTGACAAAATTAGTATATGGATGGTAGATTAGATACAAGTATTGGATCGGTGTAAATGCATTAAGCTGATGACTCTACTGTGATTAAGTAGGAGACTATCTCTCAGGAAATACACATTGAAGTATGTAAAGTTAAGGGACTTTATCCTCAAATGGCTCAGAAAAAAAGTTATGTATGTCCACAGAGAAAAAGAAAAGAAAAATAGGCTGGCCATGGTGGCTCATGCCTGTAATCCCAGCGCTTTGGGAGGCTGAGGCAGGTGGATCACTGGAGTTCAGGAGTTTGAGACCAGCCTGGCCAACATGGCCAAGCCCCTTCTCTATTAAGAATACAAAACAAGGCCGGGCACGGTGGCTCAAGCCTGTAATCCCAGCACTTTGGGAGGCCGAGGCGGGTGGATCACAAGGTCGAGAGATCGAGACCAACCTGGTCAACATGGTGAAACCCCGTCTCTACTAAAAATACAAAAAATTAGCTGGGCATGGTGGCACGTGCCTGTAATCCCAGCTACTCAGGAGGCTGAGGCAGGAGAATTGCCTGAACCCAGGAGGCAGAGGTTGCGGTGAGCCGAGATCGCGCCATTGCACTCCAGCCTGGGTAACAAGAGCGAAACTCCGTCTCAAAAAAAAAAAAAAAAAAAAGAATACAAAACAAAAAACAATTAGACAGGTGTGGTGGCAGGTGCCTGTAATCCCAGCTATTCAGAAGGCTGAGGCAGGAGAATTGCTTGAACCTGGGAGGTAGAGGTTGCAGTGAGCCGAGATCATGCCACTGCACTCCAGCCTGGGCAACAAGAGCAAAACTCTGTCTCAAAAAAAGTGAGCGAGAGCGAGAGCGAGAGCGAGAGCGAGAGCGAGAGCGAGAGAGCGAGCGATGAGAGAGAGACTGAGAGAGTAAATGATAAAGCAAATGGGGTAAAATGTTAACCATAAGTGAACCAGATTAAGGCGCATACAGTGTTTATTGTGTGATTTTTTTTTTTTTTTTTTTTTTTTTTTTTTTTGCTTTTTAGTGACAAAGTCTTGCTCTGTTGCCCAGGATGGAGTACCATGATACAATCATAGCTCACTGTAATCTCAAATGCCTGGACTCAAGTAATCCTCTTGTCTCAGCCTCTGGCAGCTAGGACTACAGGCATGCGCCACCATGCACAAGTACTTTAAACCAATTTTAAATTGTCTTTGTAGAGACGAGGGTAGGGGTGGGGATGTCCTTTTGCTGCTCAGGCTGGTCTCAAACTCCTGGCCTCAAATGATCTTCCTGCCTTGGCCTCCCAAAGTGCTGGTATGACAGGTGTGAGCCACTGCATCTGGCCTCTTGTGATACTTTTAACTTTTGTCACTTTTTATTAGTTTGAAATTATTTCCAAATAAAAAGTTTGTCTAAAAAATCCCTTATTTAAACAAAAATCTTTGTTGAAAGAAAAGAGTTTACTTCCAGCTCTGGAAGTAGGAAGTAACTCCCATAATTCTAAAAAATCTGCTTTCATGTTATGCGATTTAGAGATAGGAGGTCTCAGTGCCATCTTACATGATCTACCGTCTGGAGGAGCAGCTCCTCTGAGAACTTCCCGGGTGGGTGGTTAGTTTACCTCTTCTTGGGCATGTTCAGGGATTCACAGTCTTAAAATAATGCCATTCCAGTGTCGAATGGTGAGACGGCTGTCTTACAAATGCTTCTATACTCCCTACTTACACAACTAATGCCATGTTGTAGTTAGACAACTACATAGGTCATAGTGGGTTTGGGAGATGAAAGGCTAAAGAAATGTACCCGATTTAGGTGCTACTTATGTGCCACTCAGAACCCTCCTACTAAGCCTCTGTTGGAATGTTTCTGGGTGGTCCAGCCCCTCCCAGGAGCTATGCCATACTTCTTCCTTCCTGCGGGTGCATAACGGATGCCCTAGCATGGGTCACCTTGGGAACTGCTCTGCGTGCATATCCATGCATCCTATATTTGTTGAAGAGTTAATGCCCATAGGGCCATCCTTGATCAATGGAATGTGGGTGTGATGGTTCAATGTTTCTCTCGGCCAGTTTGCAGATGCTTCTCACAGGGCTCCTGGGAAGGACGGGCGGGTGGAGCCCCAGCTGCCTTTCACAGTGGCTCACTCTTGTGCCGGCTTTCTCTGCCTCCCTGTTTCCCCTCTGCACATCACTCCTCTCCCTGAGATCACTGCCTGAATAGCCCAAGCACAGACTTTTGTCTCAGGTTCTGCATCCAGGGGGAATCAGGCTAAGATGGCATCATTAGAAAAAAAAGCTGAAACTCCTATGGGAGGGATGCTGATGGCTAATTTACCCAAATCCCACAGCTCAGCTGAATGGCCAAAGCAAGGGTAGTTTATCTTAAATAAATATCATTTTGGGACTCATTGACTTCTCTGCCTCTGCAACATATTCTCTTCCTTCAACTGTTTCTCCTTCTTCTGGTTCTCCCCATTTCTTTTTTTTTTTTTAAGAGATGGGGTCTCACTATGTTGGCCAGACTGGTCTTGACCTCCTGGCTTCAAATGACCCGTTACATCCCCAAACTGTTGGGATTATAGGCATGAGCCACTGTGCCTGGCCTCTCCCAATCTTGTGATTCCTGTGTATCTCCATCCCATTGAACATTCGTCTCCCTTCCCTGTTTGTTTTGTTTAATCTCTGGTCCTTCATCTCTTTCCACCTCATCCTCTTTCTGTCTCCTTTATGCCTTTGCTTTTTGCTTTTCTGTGGTTCCTCTTATCTTCTTCCCTTTCTGATTGTTGGTAAACACAGCTGAGAGTCAACCTGGCTTATAAGACAATTGACTCCTGTGGCCTCCCTCTCCTTGCATTGTCTCACAAACAGGAGAGCGAAAGGTGGGATTAGATTGTGTGCTCCCCCAAACCAAGAATTCCGAAGGCTTTGCTGGGTAATGATGGGATTGGCCTTAATAGGCATCCCATGAGTGTGAAAGAATTGGTGAGTGAAAGGTATGTAGAAGGATGATGGGGCTTTGACATCCCGTGTAGCCACAAAAATCACAGAGTTGGCTGTGGGTACTGGTCCTGGGTGCAGGGACCCCTCAGCCCAACCTTCTCTCCCCAGTTTCTGTTCTTCAGCTGGATTGTGGAAGTTTATGCATTCCTAGGAGTGGAACATTAGAACCTGGAGAGGAGCTGAGAGACCCATGGAGAAATCTGAGTCCTCATTGCTTCCCGCCAGGATAATGCAAAGCAAGGCCAGGTCTCCGTGGAGGTGACTTGTTTTGCTTTTCTATAAAACCACCCAAACGTGCATTCGTTCACATTTCAAATCCACTTTATTACCAAAACGAACAAAAGGAGAATGAGGCTTAAATTAAATAAATTATGCAAATATCTCAAGAGATAAGGTTCCCAGTCCTCCCTGGGAATCATATCATCACAGGTCAGTATCACTAAGAACATTAAAAAGTATTGAAATTCCAGATTATTTCACTACTTTGCCTCCATCCTTCCTGCTCCAACCATGTCCAGAAGAGTGTTCTTTTCCAAATATTCAAGCAGAGATGTTTTCTTCAATGTCTTCCCTCTGCCCCACGTGTTTCAATCTCACCTCCACGGCGGGCCCTGCAACCCTCAGACGTGTTGCAGATTTCTCTCTGAGCCCCAACTCCAGGCCACTGGGCCAACAATCCCCCTCAGTTCCGGGGCTGGTCTGGGGGTTAAGGATAACTTCATCAAGTCCTCAGGGGATCTCGATACTTGGTTCAAAGGAGGCTCTGACTTGGGATGTCCTGAGGCTCCGTGACCTTCTCCCACCTCCTGGGCCTGAGCTAGACTTGGAAGGAGGTGGAGTAGGGGAGAGTGAGTTGTCATTGGCTAAGGCTCTTGTCCTCCTGGAATTTGGCACTGCGGGTGCTGGGCACGGTGAATCCCAGATAACATTGTCTTTCGCCTTCCAAGTTTTGAGTTCCATTGGCAGCCAGATGGCATAATGAATTCACAGAAAAGCAATGCTCGTGGGCCAAGAATGCGTTGGCTCTTGGCCAGCACCCCCTCCTTTAACTCTAAGAAGACTAGTTAGCTGACCAGCTCACTCAACACACAGACACACAATGCAGATCTGGCTGAAGTTAGAAATTGGGATGTTTTCCTAGGCTGGGCCAGCCCAACCTGTTAGAGAAGGGGTCATTAAGTTGAAGAAGCTTGAGAAGAGCAGTGGTGAGAGGCCAGAAGATTTTCTGTGCATTTCCATTGAAATTTTACAAGACACTTACACATGGAACCTATTTATTTTCAAGTCAACTGTGGGGTTCCACTCAATACCTCCTTGTTTATATGGAGAACTTAGCTCCTGTTTTCATTTTCATAGGAGAAGATGGCCTCGGGTCCTAAGGGTGTTAAGGAATCTTCCTGCGGAGGAGGACCCGATCTGGATCAGCCCCTTTCCACATCTGCATGCAGATAGGGGATGCAGCGGATCCTGGAGGACTTTCTCCCTTGCCTGCAGAAGAACCCCATCGTGGTTCCGGGCCACAAGCAGGTAAGGAAGAGTTAACATGATGGGCTCTTTGCCAGGTAAAGGACAAGGCAGATTTACCACGGGGAGGCATTTCCCTGTTGTCCCTGAGGTCAAGGGAGACTGTCAGGGCCCAGGTCCCCTGTTTTTCCTGTGTTGGTACCAGCACCCTCTTCCCCTCTGAGTCTCTGGGTACAAAGAGGGATTCCCAAAAGCTTTTGTGCAGAATTACTGATATCTATTACTAGGTTGCCAGAGGATTCTGCCAGCTACCGATCTCCCTCTTTGGGGTTTCTACCCAGCCTCCAGGGGAAGGGAGCAGCCTCTGAGGGTAGAGACAGCAATGTTTCAGGAGGCTGAGGCAGAACCTTAGGGGGATGCCCCTGGGGAGGTAGCTCTGGTGGTCTTGACGGTCCTGGCCACTGTCCAGGCTAGAGTCTGACGTGCTGACAGCAGAGGTGGCTTGGGCAGCCTCGGGATGATGCGGGGGCCGCATAGTTACCAAGGCCTTCCCTGGGTGCAGAGCTTCCAGAGACAGCGTTGAAGCAGCTGGGGAAGGCAAGCCAGAGTCCTACCCAAGTTTTTTCCTATGTCCCGTGACCGCCTGACACCATCTGACACCGAGCCATGCGGGCCCTGGGACACTTTCTGAAGCTTGCACAGGAGGCCAGCACAGTTGTACTTCTCCTTCTGTTTTTGGCTCACTTGTAAAAGCTGGAAGTCAAGGTGTCCTTCAGCTGCCAAGGACTGGGCCGAGGTGGGTGGGGTGGAGCGGTCAGGAGGCTTGCCCGCTGTGGCCAGGGCCTGACGGGTGAAGACTGGGCTCCCCAGACTCTCACTCCTGTAAGGGTAGCACCCCCTGCTGCTGAGAGGCTCCCTCTGGAGATGCAGGGAGGGAAGGAGGGGAGGAGAGAGGGGGAGAGGAGAGGGGAATGCAGGCCCTGGGGGTGCACTTTCCTCCTCCCCACACTCCCTGCGACCCCGGGTTCCTCCTCTGTGGAAGTGCCAAGTGCCAGGCACTCTGTAGGCAGCATGAGGACTGGCGGGGCGCTCACAGGGCGGTCAGGGTCTCTGTGTGAAACATACTCCCGAACATCTCCTGCAGGAGCCACAGGAAGGAAGTGGGAGGGGAAGAGAGAGGTTAGACCAGCTGGGGTCACAACCAAGTTGGCTGCAACCCAGAGGTGACCCTAGGAACCCCTGGCCAGAATGAGGCACCACGTGTGCACGTGTGTGTGCGAGAGTGTGTGTGAACAGGGGAGAGGCATGGTCAGGCCAGGAGGTGAACCAGTCTGGCGTGGCAGAAGCAGGTGCTGAAATCTACATGTGAATCGCCTCCCGTGTGCTGTGTGACCTTCCGTGTGTCCCTTGCCTGTTTTTAGCGTCGCTTCCTTCATTGGGTAAAATGAAGGTTGGCAGTAGAAAAGCTCTAAAGTCCTTTCTCGCTTTGATAAGCTATTTTGGTCTTATCCAGGCTTTTCGGAATATGCTGGAGATTCCAAGAGGGCCCAGAAATCAGTCTGCCAAATCTCTATGGCTCCAGCACTATTTTCTAATCTGTTCCACCTGCCATCAGCACTGTGAGAGATGGATTCAGAGGACCATGGAGCTCAATGTCAAAAAGAATGGGAAGAGGCACAAAGAGAGACATTATTTCTCATAGACCCAAAGCCAGATTTCTCTAAACCTAGTCATCTGGTTTCTTTTAATTCAGGGCATTGCTGGGGTGGTGTTAATTTCTATGGGCCCTATGTGGATGGGGATGGTTTTGTTTTGTTTTGTTTGTTTTTGAGACAGAGTCTCACTCTGTCGCCCAGGCTGGAATGCAGTGGTGTGATCTCTGCTCACTGCAACCTCCGCCTCCCAAGTTCAAGTGATTCTCATGCCTCAGACTCCCGAGTAGCTGGGACTACAGTTGTGTGCCACTATGCCTGGCTAATTTTCGTAGTTTTAGTAGAGTCGGGGTTTTGCCATGTTGGTCAGGCTAGTCTTGAACTCTTGACCTCAGGTGATCCGCCTGCCTCAGCCTCCCAAAGTGCTGGGATTACAGGTGTGAGCCATTGTGCCCGGCCACATGTCCTTTAGTTCTTAAGTCCTGTCCACATGCAATAATAATTCATTCGTAGCCCCAGAATTCGTCTGTTCTACCAGAACATCAGTTTCTGAGAGGCAGAGGCCTTTGTCTTGTTCACTGCTGTGTGCCCATCCTGAACTGTGTCAGGCAAACACTAGGTATGCCATAAATAGCTGCTGAATGCGCGAAAGAACAAATGACTCCCCTGCCAATCTTGTGTGGTGGATGGGACAGGTATTACTTATGTTTCCCTAATTTCACAGGTGATAAAAACTAGGACCCAGGGTGTATGTGGCTCACCCAAGGCCACGTGGGTGACGTGCTGGAGAGTAAGAATAGATACTAGTTCTCTAGGACTTGGTCCAGTGGCTCATCCTCTCCCCAGGATGCCTTTCAGGGAATGAGAAGAATGAAAACAAAGGCCGGGCATGGTGGCTTATGCCTGTAACCCCAGCACTTAGGGAGACTGAGGCAGGCAGATTGCTTGAGATCAGAAGTTTGAGACCAGCCTGGCCAACACAGTGAAACCCCTGTCTCCATAAAAAATACAATAATTAGCCTGGCGCAGGCCTGTGGTCCCAGCTACTAAGGAGGCTGAGGCAGGGGAACCGCTGGAACCCGGGAGGCAGAGGTTCGAGTTAGCCGAGATCATGCTACTCCAGTCTGGGCGATAGAGTGAGACTTTGTCTCAAAAAAAAAAAAAAAAGAAAAGAAAAGAAAAGAAAAGAAAACAATGAACACAAGCCTTTGTGGCCTTGAATGTGACTGCTGTGGGCTGGAGGTGAGACAGCCAAGTGAACACCTTGTATTTGAGAGCAACCCCATCCTTCCCCTCCTCACCCTGCTCCCACCCTCACAGCCCTGTCCCTCAGCTCACCTGCTCTAAGTCCCAGTAGCCGGGGATGTCCTCCTCTGAGTCATACAAGGAGAGCTCAGGGTCCCCTGGAGCCTGGAAGGGAGGAAGCCGTGGCAGAATGAGCTTCAGTGACTGAACAGCAAAGTTGGTGGACGGTGGCAGGAAGACAGACACGTGGCCAGCTTTGAGTGGACACTGCTTCCTGACACATGATTCATCCGCTTGCTCTTTCCCTCACCTGCCTAAAAACAGCACAGCTGTGGTCTTCTCCCTTATACCAGACAGGTGCGTGTCAGGTTCTTCCCTCCTTTGGGCTATTAGAGGCAGGGAAGGTTTTACCCAGCTTAGAAACACTACTGGCTAGCTGCCTGATATTGGGGAATTCCTATCCTCCTGGAAATCTGTTTTCTAATCTGTAAGAGTCTGATAACCAGCCTCACTTTGCCTGCTTTTCCCCTCACCATGCTGCTGAAAAGGTGTATGTATATGTGTGTGACTTATATGTATGAATATAGTCTGTAATATGTAACTATATTATATAAAATATAAATTACTTATAAGTCTGTAACTAATAAAGTATACATATCATGTTCAGAGTAGCTGAACGTGATTAGGGCACCAACAAATAATGCGGATTCCTCCAGAATCTCCCTCTTTGCTCTGCGGACAAGTTCACGAAGTGGGAAAGCCCTCTGTTTCCCCAGAGTTTCCTTCTAGGCATGGAGGGCAGGAGCCAGTGCCCTGTGTGTTCCTGGGCAGTCTTTCAGCACTTAGAGCAGATGGCTTCACCTTTATCAGTCTCTTAAGGCAAAGAGCAAATCGTTGCTCCAGAGCCAGAAAAGCCTTTCGTATGCCCCACAGAGGGAAGGGGAGGTTTTTACCCAGGGCTGGGGCACAAACAAAGTCTTGGGAGGCCAAGGGCAGGAGTTGAGCTGGGAGAGGTCCCTGAGGGCTGAGAGATGGTTGGGGATACCTGGGCAGGGAACTCAAGGGGGTGGGCTTTTTCTGACTCCTCAGCCTTCTGGAGTTTTAGATGGTGTTATTTGTATCCCGTTTGTATGTCACTTACTGAGCTAGTAAATGAAATGTCGAAAAGTGGAGACAAAACTCAGACCCAACCTCTTCCTCCATCACCAGCCTGAAATCTCTAAGCTCTGCTAAGTTAAAATGGGCAGGCTTACTTCCCTCCCTCCCTTCCCCAAAGCCCCCTTTAGAAGCAGATAAGGAGGAGGCAGGGAACAGTGCCAGAAGAGTGGGCATGCTAGACTGTGCTTTGGGGGTTTGTGCAACCAGGAAATTTATATCGATAAAGAATTTTTACAAGACACAAAGTGCTTTCAAGTGACACAAAAGATGTAATTATCATTTTGCCCTAAAACAAAAACAAAAGAAAAATGCTGGGAGATAGGTAATGTTAGTTGATGGGACTCATTCTATCAGAAAACATAAATGGCAGAGTTAGTGTTGGAACTTAAAGCTTCTCCTGTGTTCTCTCTAGTGCCTCTTAGTCCCGCTATTTCAGTGCCTTGGAGCCTAGGATTCTCCAGGTGCAGGGACCTTACCCCTTGGAAGTTTCGTCTTGGGGTCACGTCTCTGGCATTTGCCTGGGCGAAGAGGACGGCATCATGTATGCTGGGAAAGACGTGATTGCATTCTAGACTCCCATCCTCAAAGACGCCTCCATGGCTAATGTCATTGTACACCTGGGCTAGAAGGAGAAAAGATCACCTTCAGAAAGATAACAGCCATTGTGGGTTGGAGCTGGGGTGGGGAAGGTGGTGAGACCCGACTCGGGACGGAAGGGTCTGAGGTCAGAGCTCTGGCTGCATCTGAGGGCCATGGCATTGGCATTGCAATATCAGTTCTGGACGGCAGAGGGCAACGTGAACTTGAGGATGCTGAACTTTCAACCCAGGGCAGAAGGAAGCAGTTTGATTTAGGGAGTTGGTACTTTGTGGTGATTTGGGTGGTGAAGCCTAAGCCGTCCTTGTGGAGGTTGCTGCCAGTTCTGTCCCCCAAGCATCCATCCTTCCTCTTGTTTTCCTGGACCTTTTCAGCAACTTTCATTGTGTGGCAGAACCATTACTCTTCATCCTAGAGATGGTTTCCTGAGGAGGTGTCCAGAGAGGCCGGGTAGAATCCACGACTTCTAGCTCTGGAGCCTATGACAGGAGGCCATGGCCACTGCAGATCTTCTCCCTGAGCGTGGCCATGCGGAGCCTGGGACCTGTGGCCCTGCTGGAGCGGGTGTGAGGGGGCTAGGTGTGTGTACGCGTCCCTTCACATGCTTCTGTGTGTCTGTGTGCACTTCCACATCTCTGCTCTTTGCATATATGCTAATGATGTAAATGTCTGCTGCTCTGTGGCCACGCCCTTGAGGCTGTGTGTACGCACCTTTGGAGACTGTGTGCCTGTGTAACTGCATATTTATATGGTCCCTGGAGAATCAGGGTGCTGTGTGCTTTATGTCTACATAGATTCATGGAGACTCTGGTTTGGAGAGGATCCCCAAACCCATCTAGTCACTCCCCTCAGTTTACATAGGTAGAAATAGATCCCTTGATAGATAAAGTGACTCCGCCAAGAATACATGGCAAATTAGTTATGGGTAGATTAGAATCCTAGCTGTTCTTTTGTAACTCCATGACCTGTCACCCCCACTCTGTCACTAGGACCCCTAGGATGTTTATGCAATCTGACGGTCTCTTTGGACTCGTACCTGAAGCTTTTATGAGCAGGCAGCCGCTTAGGGGGTTATCCGAGTGCTCTGATTTCCAACCTACTCACTATTCAGACCCCACCAACCTGTTCCTACCCCACCCTCCTTGCCAGCCTTTCAGCCACCTAGACGTCCTCTTTCTCTTACCATGGATGTTCACCAAGAAGACCTTCACACCGATCTTCCCATAGGTGGAGCTCAGCTGGAAGTGTTGGGGTAGGGAGGCAAAAGGAAAGGAATGTTCTGAGTGGGTCTCAAAAGTGATTCACAAAACGTACTTCAGAGGGGAAGTCAAACAAATAAGCAACCCTGAGAGCCCAGCAGCCAAAGATAAAAATAGCAGCAAAGCACACCACTTTTCCCTGGAGTGTTGGCTGACGGCTTCTTGGGACAGGGGGCGGAAATGGGGTTTTGCCAACGCGGCGGGCACTTAAAGTCACCATGACCCCTTCTTGTGGGACTAGATCTTTTCTTTCAGTAGCTTAGATTTTCCCAGACTCCTCTGTGGCCTCAGGCAGAAGCTGCAGGGGAGGACAGAGGCTCAGGGAGTCTAGAGCTTCAGCCAAGGCTGGCCTGGACTCCAGATCCTGGCTAAGGAAGCTGGCGGAGGCCCAAGGCTGGAGATGGGGACTTCCCCACACCTGGTTGACGGTGATGTCAGTCCGAACACTCTCTGTGCCTTCCCCTAGCTTGCCTCTATCTGAACCAGCTCTGAGGTTTGCTGACTCCCCGCCACTGGCGGTGGCTGCTGGAAAGTTATCAGATAGATACATTCATTCAGGGTGTCCCGTGGGCTGGCTGTCTGGCTTGATGGTGTGGGGCCCTGCTGTTATTTCTTCTCCTCTCCTAGGCTGGCTAGTCAATGAGGGACAAGGGCAGCAGATCATGAACCAGGAGCCAAACTGGACTCTCCTCGGAGCCCCTGGGTGGGTTCCTCAGAGGGACTTGGGATGCCCTCTGCTGCGGGTGTTGGGAGCACGGGCGCCTGAAGCTCTGATAGACCTCTCCAGCCATGTGTTGTCACCAGCTGTCTGGGACTGCGCTGCCGAGAACATCCTATCCTGGTAGTGTCTGGGGAAAGGAGGGGTTCCTAGGAGCCTTTAGCCTCCGCGGTGCGTTTCATCCCTCAGCTCCCTGAAATGAGGGCTCCAAGGAAACGGGGTAAGGGAGAGCAGGGTGGAGGGGGCGGGGCCTGCTGGCCCTCAGGGCCTCACCTTAGCCAGGGCCTTGATGCCCATCAGGTCCACAAAGCTGACTCCACTCATGTCAAGGATGAGGGTGTGGAAGGTGACGAAGGGCGGGACGCTAGCCAGCGTGTCACTGGGCTCGTCGGGGGCCTCAGCAGAGGCCGGTGGCTCACTTTGGGCAGCCGAGGAGCTGTCGGGGCTGAAGGTGATGTAGGACACACTGGCGCCATTAGCCGGCGTCTGGTTGTTGTTGGGGTCAGTGGGGGGGCCGTTCTCAAAGTCCTGCTGCAGCTCCTGCAGGGAGACGGTCTGGAGGGGTGGGGGCAGGGGACACAGTCAGGGACCACCAGGCCGAGCCAGACTTTGCTGTGGCTGAAGCGGGGGCATGATGGGTGTAGGTGGAGGGGATAACTCCACGTGGTGATGGTGAACACAGACCCTGAAAACCCCACCTAAGAGGCCTCTCTCAAAGCCCTTTCTTAGGCAGGGCCTGCAAGCTTGGTCTTCTACAACCCAGACAAAGTCAGAGGACCCTCTCAAGAGAGGCACTGAAGCCTCCACCCACTCTCTCTGGGAGGAAGCCCCTCTGGGGACACTGAGCTCCTTTATTTCTTGAGGCAGAGTCTCCCTCTGTCGCCTAGGCTGGAGTGCAGTTGCACTATCTTGGCTCACTGCAACCTCTGCTGCCTGGGTTGAAGTGATTCTCGTGCCTCGGCCTCCCGAGTAGCTGGCATTACAGGTGCCCACCACCACACCCTGCTATTTTTTGTGTATTTTTAGTAGAGACAGGGTTTTGCCATGTTGAGTAGGCTGGTCTCCAACTCCTGACTTTAAGTGATTCTCCCACCTCAGCCTCCCAAAATCCTGCTGGGATTACAGAAATTACTCCCATGCCCACCCCAGCCCTGCTAGTGTGGGCTGCCTGGGTTCCCTAGGAAAATTCACTGCTGCTCCTCCTCTGGTTTGTTCAAAAGTCCACGGGCTATGTCCTATCTTAGCCAGAAAATGAAGAAGGGTTGTGGGAGTTCACTGGCTACCCTGGGAACTTGTAGCACCTCATCCAAGAACAAAAATGCCTAGGCTGGGTGCGGTGGCTCATGCCTGTAATCTCAGCACTTTAGGAGGCTGAGGTAGGTGGATCACCTCAGGTCAGGGTTTCGAGACCAGCCTGGCCAACATGGTGAAACCCTGTCTCTACTAAAAATGCAAATATCAGCCAGGCATGGTGGCAGGCACCTGTAATACCAGCTACTCAGGAGGCTGAGGTAGGAGAATCGCTTGAGCCTTGGAGGCAGAGGTTGCAGTGAGCTGAGATCACGCCATTGCACTCCAGCCTGGTTGACAAGAGCAAAACTCCATCTCTAAAAAAAGAAGAAAAGAAAAAAAAAGAAGAAGAAAAATGCCTAGTGGCCACCAGGCAGTGTTCGCAGAGCCTTCCTGTCTTTGCCTTTCAGGGTGGGAAGAGGGGCCCCGGAGTACCACGAGTAACAGGGGCAATATCAGAACGGGCAGGAAAGCAGGGCAGGGGGCCTTCTCCTGGCCTCCATTTACCTTGGTTTTCATGAATAGAGACTTCCTCTGTTGTGTGGGCCTCATTCTCCGCTTCTTCTGCTTCTTGAGGTATTTTTGCTTGGCTAGTAATACTTTCTGGGGGTCCATACCTGTCTATAGGGAGAGAGGCGACAGCAATTCGACCTCCACCCTCTACAGGAGTGGCCTGTTCTCGGCCCCCACTGCCCTCCTGCTTCCATCTTCTGGACACTCTCCGTCCAGAGCCGCTGGTCACCAGGAACTGAGCCTTACCTTGGCAATGACCTTTCGCCTGAAGATCTCTGAGTTGGCAAAGTAGAGAGGGGAGCAGTAAGTGACGATTTTAATCCCCTGGATATCCTGGGCCTGTGACAGGGAGACTGAGCTCAATTTGTAGAAATGTCTTTATTGGCTTTAAAAAACAATCTCTCCTTGGGGTGGCACAGAGCAAAAGAAGGTGGTCATAAGCTTTAATTACCTACCTTACTATAGGTCTTGGGATTCACATAAATGTCAGTGTCTGTGACCTGGGCCAGTGCATAGCCGTTTCGACTGGATGGAGAAGGAAGAGAAAAACATAAGAGAACGCTAATGATACATGGGTCTGGAAGGGTGCCCGTGCTGGGGCAGGGCAGGGGCAGAGCCAAGGTAGGATGGGGTCCTGTCCTCACCCCCAGACTTGCTGTGCCTTTTTGCACTAGGGACACATGTCTGGTGGCCTGCAGCCTCCTATAACTAGGAGGATGACAGGCAGGCCTTTGACATAGCTCCGAGACCAGGTGGCAGAGGAGAGAAGTGGGGTCAGTACACAAGGTGACAAGCTTCAGTGACCCTGAAGTCATCGCTTCCTTGTTTTGAGTTCTTAAGAAGAGAGGACAGCATTCCCCAACACTCAGCACCCTCCCTGCCTTGACCAGGGCCCCTTCTCTCTGATACTCCCAGTGTGCAGAACACAGCATCCGTTTCTACCTGGCGTTTTCCTGGGGTGGGGTCCCATTTGGTTTGGGATGCTGGCAGTGTCTTTGGAAGGATGTTGACTCTCACCATCTGCTGTTGCCCTCCTGCCTCTGCCACTGTCCTCTCTCCAGCCATCCCTAGCGAGACTATGCTGGCTTCCCCTGGGGTTCTCAGGATATGAGAAATCAAATAGCCCAGACTGTGCCCACAGTCCTGGCTGGGTCAGGCTCTCCTCAGGCCTGGAAGCGCCTCCAGTGCCAGGCCCAGAGGTGGAAGTGGGCTAAGCAGGGCTGTGGCATGGGAGCTCCCCACAGGCTGGCCCAGGGACCCGACGGTGGGCCTGGGAGGGCAAAAGCTGTTACTTACAACTGAGTCTGGAAGATGACGACCAGGACGGAGAAGGCGACACCCACTGCCACACCATAGGGCAGGCTGAGGAAGAAGGAGGAGAGGAAGCTCACTACCCAGATGCACTGTAAAAAGAGAGATGTCAAAAGCAGACCTGGGGAAAAAACCGCCTCTTTCAGGAAGTCTTCCTGAATTAGCCAAGGCCATTCTCTGCTAGCACAACCTAAGACCTGCTCTTCTTCTTCTTCTTTTTTTTAATCATGTTTTTGCAGTATTTTATGTATTGGCGCTTTAGTTTCACTTGTCTATTTCCCTTAGACTGACTGTGGTTGTCTGTGTTTTCAGAAGAAGCCCCAGCACACAGGGACGCGGCATCCATAAGAGCATGCGTCTTGGGTCAGATATGCTTGGGTTTGTTTATTTGGTTGGTTGGTTTTGGAGTCCCAGGGTCTTGCTCTCTTGCTCAGGCTTAGAGTGCAGTGGCAAGATCAGCTCACTGCAGCCTCAAACTCGTGAACCCAAGCCATGCTCCCACCTTACCTTCCTGAGTAGCTAGGACTATAGGCACGTGCCATTACACCCAGCTAACTTTTAATTTTTGTAGAGATGGGCTCTTGCTATGCTGCCCAGGCTGATGTTGAACTCCTGATGTCAAGCGGTCCTGCTGCCTCAGCCTCCTGAGGTGCTAGATCACAGACAGGTGTGAGTCACCACACGCAGCTCAAAGTTTTGTTCCTTAATGACCATGTGAACCCTGGTTCCTAGCCCACAAAAGGAGAATAACAATGCCTACCTTATGAAAGGATTCAAAAGTTAAGGAGCCTGACGGTCCTAACCTAACGGGTGCTCAGCAAGGGATCAATAAATGTGGGTTCCCTCTCTCTGTCTAGCAGCGTGTTTTCTGACTGGCTGGGGGCCTGGTTTTGTGTGTGGGGGGCAACACTGAATGACGTTTTGATAGTTGCTCCCTCTAGATTTTAAGACCCACACATTCCTCTAAAAGAAAGACATACGCCCAGGTTCCTGTAGTGAACTGCTGTGAAGATCAGATGGAAGCAGCAGTCGCCATATGAACAGAAGGAAACACTGCCATAGCGGGGACTTGCTGGACTACGCTAAAAGCAGATCCTTGGGCTGGGAACTGAGGCATAATTTTTCTCCCTATTCTCATCGCTCTCCCCCTGGGTGACCACAGATGAGCCACTTTTCTTCCCTGCCCTAGGTGGGTGAGCCTCCCTTCCCTATGAGACAGTCCAGCCCAGAGTTCTGGAGTTTTAATCCAGACTCTACCACTTCCTACGTCTGTGGCCTTTGATGATTTACTTAACTGTTTTGAGCTTTGGTTTCATCATCGTTAAGAAAGGTTAGTAAATCCTCTCCCATAGGTGACGGCAGGGCTTGCCTGGAGAGAATGCAGTGACAGGACACACTGGCCTTCATTACTATGCCCAGCGGAAGACGTGGTGGGGTGTGCAACTAGTCATAACAGTAAGTCATGTTTGCAGAATGTTTATGCTCCTGTGGTGTTTTCCCACTGTGATCTCATTTAATCCTCGGAACCAGGGCTTGACGCAACCGTGACTGCATGACTCTCACCCCTATTTACAGATGAGGAAATAGAACTCCAGAGAAGTCTAGTCACTTGCTCAAGATTTAGGTCTTCTGGCTTTATGTTCTAGGTTTTTTTTTTGTTTTTTTTTTTAAAGATTTCCTTTTGCTTTTTTGGAGCTATATGTCATAAAAATAGTAATAGCTAAGTTTTATTGGGTATCAAATACGATGTAGACAACATGCTTACTTATATTACCCTGCTTCTTCTTCATAGAAAACCCTGGGAGACAGAGAGTGTGAAGTACCCATCTCCCAGGTGAAGACTCCAAGACTCGGAAAGGTTAAGGGGCTTGTGCTGGCCACGCAGCCAGCAGATGGCTGCGTTAGGGTTTGGACGTACGATGTGTCACATCGAAACCTGGGTTTTTAACCACTCAGCTATGCTAATTAGGAAGCAGCCGACTAGAGGGTTCATTGTTAGCACAGGGCTAACTGACAGGGCTGCGGGGTTGGAGGAGAGGGCAGGGGCATGGCCGGTACCTGGAGGCTGCCCGATACTTACGCAGTCCAGCTTGCTCTTCCTCCACAGGTAGTAGGGATCGGTGAGTTGCTTGAGGGAGTTCTTGAGATTGACAGCAATCAGGGCTCCTAGCACAGACTAGAGAAGCAGAACATTGTTCTAGGCCCCCGGGGGTTCCCTTCTTTTTGCCCTCCTACACATACCTGACCCCAAAGCCTGGCAGGACAGAGATGGGGAACACCTCCCCTGGCCAATACCCCACATCTCTGCATTCAATCTTAGGTTTGGAAAGTGCTGGTGTTAGAGCCATGGGGTTCTTCCTGGCCCCACCCTTGCCTGACCTCTCTTCCCTCATCCCTAAATGACACATGCCTAGAGCCCTTCCAGCCCGGCTGCGTGAGAGCCTGGTGCCCATGGGTAGGTGTAACCACTGCCTAGGGATTCGACTCTGAGGACAGAAGGCTGGAGTTTGGGACCAGCCCTGTGCTGTGAACTGCCTCACTGTGGACAAGGTTACTTAGACTCTCAGACTCAGTTTCCTTCACCTGTAAAATGGGGAGGATAAAACCTGCATTGTCTACCTCCCGGGTTGTGGTTGAGACTAAGTATGACCATGGTGGCACTTTGTAGTCTGGAAAGTGCCACACAACTCTCAGGGATCGATTTTCCTGGAGTCACACTGTCCTCTGCTTGATGGCTGGGATCTTACCTTGGGGAGAGGATACAGATAGGTTCCCAGGACCAGCATGGTGATCATCACCACCAGAGACACACACAGGCTTGCCACCTATTCCGAGAAAGAGTTGGGGAGAGACAGCAGGTGTGAAATTTTTGCTCTTGGTTGATTTCCAATACATGGCTTTGGTGGAGTGGAGACTAAAGAGGGAGATGAGGGTTGGAGAAGAGCTGGCTTGGCTTGCAGTGCCCAGGCTTCCCTGGGGCAGCCGTTGTGTTACCACCTCCACCCCATGCCCCTAGTACAAGGCTCACCTGGGACTTTCCTCCAGCTCCATCCACAGCCAGAGTGACGGAAAGCGCACAGCAAATGACATGAATTTTAAAGAAGGAGCCAAAGAAGTTGCTGCAGCCCAGGGCGATCATCTCCTGTGGGAGGGGCAGGATTAGAAGCCAGTGTGGGGTGGAGGGGCACTGGGACCAAGTGCAGTCAGGCATGCAAGCCAGACCGCAGGCCTAGGACCTGAGAGTGACCCAGTGGCTATAAAGTCACACACTCCCAGTCAAGAGGAGGTCAGCCCCTTGGGACCAGAGGCCTCCCTGCCTCACCTCAGCCCATGAGCCCCCCTAGCCAAGATGTCTCATACCAGGCCTGAGTTGACCTGTCCCGCCCAGCCCTGCCGGAGGTGGCCAGAGCTACCTGGTTCGAATCCACATTGTAGCCATGCTTGTTGGCCAGGGTCCGGCCCATAGCCAGGTTGATGACGTAGCCCACAATGGCTAGGGAGAAGGCTGTGCCTATCATGTCCTTCCACTGCGAGACCACAGGTGACACCGGGGTGGGGAACCTGCCGAGGAGCCAGGAAGGAGGCAGAGCCCAAGAACGTGAGCAGGGAGGGCAGCCAAGTCCTTCACCAGCCCGTGGAAGGCCCCCAAGGTGTGCCGGGATCTTTACCTAAGTTATCCCATTCAGTCTGAATCCTCAGCACCACCCCGTAGGGTAGGCACCACCACTCCTGTTTTACAAAGGTGGAAACCGAGGCTTAGAGAATCTAACTTGCCCAAGGTCACTAGGCCAGGATGTGGCAGGGCCTCATTTGTTTACTCCCAGATTCTGAACTCTATACGCTTGTGAGTTCACAGACCCCCGAGACCTCTCGTGCTGCATGGCCTTCCCTCCCGTGCCCGCTCCAGCCCTGCAGGGCGAGCGTCGCCCCCCTCCTCTTAGGACCCAGCATGGTGCCTGGCACAGAGTGGATGCTCCATGAATCTGGTTGAACCTAATAGCTCTCTTTCTGCATGGACAAAGAACCAATGCATTAGAGCAAGGCAAAGAGCCAGCAAGGGGCTGATCAGAGAGGCTTTTGTTTAACAGCATCAGTTGCATGAGATTTAAAAGGGGAGCGTGGCCGTTAAGACTCATTTTTCATAAAATAGCCAACATCGGCTGGTTGTGTGGCCCTTCTCAGGAAACAGTAATAATTCATACGTGGTCAGCGTCATACAGTTTCTATGGCATTTTCGTGGAGGTCATCTTGTTTCCCTCTCCGAGTTCAGGCCTTAGCGGGGCATGTGGTGCAGGTGGGTCAGGCTTCTGGGCCACTAGACTCACCCGCGTTGGATTTCTCCCACGATTTGCATGTGATACTTTTTGGGCATCTTACAGCCCCCGGAGACAGCTGTTGCCACCACCACCTGCAAACCCCAAAGCAGAGAATGGGGATTGGCCCTAAGCTGGGGCCAGGGCAGGGGTCTCGCTCAAGTCTTTCTTTTCTCTGGGGACCATGAATCCCACTCCCTTGCCTCCTTAGGGGAAATTATCAAAGCAGTAGAAAGAGAGGAAGCACCACGTGTGGGGGATGGGATGGATTCACATCTCACTTCCTGTCCAGTGCAGGGGATGGGGTGAGGAGAGGTAGGGACTCCCCTGGCCCTGACTGAGCTGGTTTCCTCTTCTCACAGTCTGACCCCCCAGCACCCCAGCTCTGGACAAGGTCTTACCACAATCATCTCTGCAGGGATGGGGAAGCGGATCTTGTGCATGTGGCGAGCATTGAGCTCCTTCACCAGCACCAGGAAGGCACCGCTGATGAGGGCGAAGATGAGTGAGGCGATGTTGGTGTGGGGGAGGTTTTTGCAAATGTCAATGAAGGTCTGGGGGAAAGAGCATCATGCTCACAGGCTCCCACCCCTTCTTCCCATACTACCCCACCTTTGGGTGTCTGACCCAGTGAAGGGATGCCATCAAAGCTAACAGAGGCATGCCAAGACAGAGTTCAAACCCTGATCAGAAACACTGTCCCATCATCCACCGCCCTCTCCCAAAGGGTATGTGAGGAGCTCATGCTGGAAAGGGAATGCTTTCTTCTTCTTCGGAAGAGTTTGAGCTGAAGGAGGAGGGATGGAGACTAGACGCGAGGAAGGACTTTCTAAGCAGGGAGAGGTTGAGGTGCTAGAATGGGGAACTGGTGGAGAGTGTCCAGCTGTCTTCTGCAGGGATTAACTACCGAGAACCTCAGCGAGCCTCAAGGTCTTGCCTTTGAGCCTCCCAAGAAGGAAAGCCCCTCAGAATCCTCTCTGAACAACAGCTAAGCCAGCCCTTGCTTGAGAACGTCTTACAATGAGGAGCTCACAGCTTCTTAAAACAGTACAGCCTCCTCATGTGTCTGCTCGAGCCTTGCCCCATTTGCAGGGGTGCATCCCCAGACTCACAAAGACGATGGACCCCGGGCCTGTGTAGGAGGGGACGGTGAGTCCGAAGATGTACTTGAGCACCGAAATCAGGATCTGCAGGCCCGCGGCCGTCATGAAGCCCCGGATGAAGGACTCAGAGAGGTAGATGGCCACAAAGCCAAACTGCACAAAGCCCAGGCCCATCTGAGAGGAGGAAAAGGGCGGTTTGTGGGGGAAGAGCAGTGCGGCTCAGCAGTTTCAACAACCCGCCCCACTCACACCCAGGCCTGGAGCTCCGTGCAGCCCTGGGATAGCAGTAGCTCGAGCGAAACGGGCCGTCTGTGACCTTCACCTGCCCTTCATTGTGCTCTGCATGGTTGCCGTCAGACCTTCAGTTCCTTTAGAGCACGGGCCTTTTTGTCACATCACCTCTCTGGCTTTGGCTTCCTTATCTGTAAAATAAGCCCGGTCCTACCCCAGTGTTTTCTCTCTCAGTAAATGACACCATCATTAACCTGGTTGCCCAACCAAAAACTTGAGAGTGATTCTCCCTTAACCTCCCACATCCAATCTGTCACCAAGCTCTGTTATGGCTCCTGGTAAAATGTTCTTTTCAAGTCCAGCCCCATCTCTTTCTCTACCTGGTCTTGGCCTGCATGACTCCGGCCTGGGCCTCTGCAGAGTCTCCCCACAGGTCCCCTGCCTTGATTCTGATCCGCCTCCCACTCATCATTCTCTGGGCAGCCCAAATGATCCATATAAACTGCCAATCAGACCCAAAGTCGCTGTTTAGGGGACAGACCACAGATTTCATTGTCTGGCTTCTGCCTGCTTTTCTAGCCTCTTCTGGGCTCCTCTGCCCTCCAGTCACACCAGGCTCCCTGCTGTTTCCTGGGCAGATCACACTGCCTCAGACCTCAGTGTTTTTAGGCACTGTTCCTTCTGCCTGAACCATCCTCTGTATATCTTGTTCCTGGTTAACTTCTCATCCTTTAAGACAGGTGGAGTGTCACCTCCTCTTTGAGGTCCTCCGTGACTCTCTGCTCTGTTCCTATAGGTCTTTGTACATAGCTCTACTCTGCTGCTTATCTCACTGCATACAAATACATCTGTTGACATGGCTCCTTCCTCTGCTGGGCTGTGAGCAGCTTGTGAATTGGACCTTTTCTTACTTATCTTCGTATCCCAGGGTTTAGCCCAGTTCTTGGCATGAAACTGAATGAATGAGTGAATGAAAAGGTGTTCTCTGGGACTGCGTTTTGCTCTTTCATTCTGCCTTGATAAAACCTAGCAGAATCCTTTGCGACCCTTTGCAGGGATTGATGTCGTGCAACTGCTGCGGTGGCTTGGAGCAGAGGAGGCAGGAGAAGGGCGAGGGTTGTTAGAGAAACTTAGCAGTCGGCAAGACTGTGCTGGCAGAAAGTTGGGCTTCTCCAAGGGATCATGGAGAGAGGCTGTGAGTCTTTTAGACAGTTTTGAAGCTCAGGACAGTTTTACCGGCTGCAGCTGTTGTTCTTTTGTATGGTCCTGCTAGATACAGGTGAGGAGATACTGTTAATTTTCAAGGGTCTCTTTAGCCCTGGGATGGGGAGAAGGGAGGAAGTAGAGCCCTAAATTAGATTTTTTTCCCCTTTTTTCTTTGTTTCTTTCTTTTTTTCTTGAGACAGAGTCTCGCTCTGTTGCCAGGCTGGAGTGCAGTGGTGCGATCTTGGCTCACTGCAACCTCTGCATCGCGGGTTCAAGCGATTCTCCTGCCTCAACCTCTAGAGTGGCCAGGATTACAGGTGCATGCCACCATGGCTGGCTTATTTTGTAGTTTTCGTAGAGATGGGGTTTCGCCATGTGGGTCAGGCTGGTCTCCAACTCCTGACCTCAAGTGATCCGCCTGCTTTAGCCTCCCAGAGTTCTGGGATTACAGGCATGAGCCTCCACGCCCAGCCCCCTAAATCAGATTTAGCATTAAAGCTAAGGCTTTGAAGCAAGGGCAGGGTGGTCTGATGCCTTCCTAGCAGGGTTGGGGGCTGCCCCTCACCTGGATGACGGCAGTGAGGCAGGCTAGCGTAGCTGACACGTGCAGCCTCTCCGCCTCCATGGCTGCTGTGTCCACATAGCTCTCATTGGTGGCATTGTTGAAGACCTGGAATTTCGACTCTGGGGCCAGCTGCAGGCAGATGTTACCCACCAGGATGCTGATAACGGCAAAGGTACCTGTGGTGGCCCACCCAGCCAGCAAAAATCAGATGTTTGGACCACACCCATGGAAACCACAAAGGGGCCCGGGAACACTTCCCGACCCCCAAGGGGATGGATCCCTGTACCTCCAACACTATTCTCCATCATAATAATACCAACTCTCACTCCAACCACGATCTATGCTTTTCAAGGTACTTTCAGCTCAACGGTCAATATTGTCTCACTGGAAACATGAGGAAATGAACTCAGAAATGTAAGCACAGCCTGAACCAGAAACCAGCCCTTGTGACCAGGCTTTCCTCCATCTCACTTAGCACCAGAGAAGTCCAGATGTCCCTGTAGTGGCCAGCTGAGACCAGCCAGGGAGTTAGATGGTGATTTCTCACATCTGTTTAAGCGTGTTATAGTATGCAGTGTATCTTGTTCTGCCAAGTCTTCCTCTCATTCCAGGGAGGAAGATGGAACAGGTAATGCTAACTGAACTCAAGGAGGCTCAGTGGTTTCTCCAAGGTCACCGAGGACCCAGGACTGACGTTCACAGTGACCATTCCCCTAGGACTGACCAACAGGACTGACCCTAGGACTGACCAACTCTAGGAGAGTGCAAATGGAAAATCTCCCGATCCCCCTTCGCCACACCTCCCATCCTTGTGGTCTGGGTCATCCTGCCTGCCCAGAGGGGAGGGGCCTTACCTGGCACCATCTGGTGCACACCCCCCAGGAAGAAGTAGGTCAGGAGGGGGAAGAAGGAGGAGTAGAGGCCATTGACTGCAGGAAGATTGGCCAGCAGAGCAAATGCCATGCCTGCAGAGGACAATGAGATTGAAGCTCAGCAGCATGACTGTTTTATGGGGATCACAGAGGGATAGAGTGGGGATGAGGAGAGGAATGATGGGGGTATGGCAAGCCAGGCCTGGCTGAGGGGATCCCTTCACCTTGTGGGACCTGGATGGATCCCCCGCTGAGTCCACCAAGCAGGTCGGGGACGATGTAGTCTTTAATCTTGTACTTGGGGAGCCAGGAGAGCACAGGCAGCAGCCCAAACACCACGGCTTTGATCTTCGCTGAGGAACATCTGGAGGGGAAAGGGGCAGATTTCCAGTTGGCTCCGCATGGCTTGGACATTCCGAGTTGGAGAGGGATTATCATATCCTGTTCATTTCATTCATTGGTTCATTCTAAATTCACTGCACTGTGTGCCAGGTATACTGAGAAGAAGATGCAGGAACTTTTTTCTTCACCCTGGGCATTAGCTGGAGGTCTTCTGACTGCCAGCTGCTTACCTGGGGAGTTTACAAGACTTGGCTTAAAGGTATGAGTGTTATGGTGGCTTAGCCTTCAGAGGTATCAAATCCATCCCCTGGCTTAGATGGCCTTTCTCTGGGAAAGACTCCTCTGAGTCCTTCCGTCTGATCCCAGGCCTGGGTACCTGTGCCCGGGCTCCTGCCGCTGTGTGTGCATCCTGTGGGGCAATTCCTTGCTTTTTGTTTGTCTCTCCCACTAGACAGCAAACCTCACCATGCATGGCAAGAAGCCCAGCTCTCCTGTTCATCTTTGTACACCTTGAGCCTTGCACAGGGGCACTTAGTAAACATTTGTTGAATAAATGAATGAGTGAATGAATACATGAGTGGGACCTGCCTGCTGCCATTTTTCTTAGAACTTCCCTGAAAAGGAAGGCTCCATTGTTCCTGCAAGGTGCACTCTGCTGACTCACTGTCCTTTATGTGTGATAACTCCAGTACCGGAGTTCTTTCTCCTGTTAATTCACTGGGAAGCAGAGGAGGGAAGAGTTCATTGGCCAACGCAGGGTGGGCAGAGTTGATCCCTTTCCTGTTTGTTGAACACCTCAAGGTCCTTTCATAGAAACTCGGGAGCGGTGGGAACAAGGGCTTACAAACTCAAGGGTGACAGCTGGTGGATTGATGACTGGAAGTGGGTGAGGGGCATTTGCTTTCTTTCTCCCAGCTGAGGGAACTCACATACTTAGCGCCCATCTGGTGACTCACTGGCCTGCTCTGATGAGGTTTCCTTTCCTGCCCAGCACCAATTCTTGCTCTTTGCTGTTGCTCAACATAGTTTCCCTGACACTCAGTCCCCTGGATGTCACCCAAGACTGAAACCAACACAGACAATGCTTTGTACCTTGAAAAGTCTGAGCAGATTTTCTCTTCCAACTAACACTCCATGAAACAGCATCAATATCTTACCCCTGGTCCCTGCTGGGGCTCATGGGTGCCTCTGCCAGCCCTGGGATGCTGGAAGGGGAGGTGGACGGGCGGCAAATCGCTTAATGCAACTCTAAAGCCTTGCTCAAAGAGAGAACCAGCCCTGCAGAGGCTCCATCAGGTCTGTTTGTGGTAGAGAAAACTGGACTTATGAATAGAGAGCTGGCTAGGGAAAGAAAAACAACTCATTGGAGGGCTAGGCCATGCCCGACCTTACTTGCAAGTCTGCTGTATGTTGGGCAAAGCAATCTGAAGCTTGGAAGAAGGGCTAGAAACAGAGGCCAAGAGGAGAGTGGAGAAACGGATTAGCTTTCTAGACATTCATTCATTCATTCATTCATGAAACAAATATTTATTGGTATACCTTCTCTATGCCAGGCACTGTTCAAGGCTCTCGTGCCAGTATCATGGGAATTATTACTTTGCTATATCCCTTTATAGCTTTCATGATCCTAACTTTTAGAACAATAGCAGATCTTCTCATCCTCAGTCTTTGTGCCCTAAAGCCTCTTTGGGCACAGAGACTGGCAGAGGCCACCTGTCTGAGGAGCACAGCTGTGAGGACAGACTGTAACTGGGCAGAAATGGAGCCTCCCAAGAGAAACAGGGTTGGGCCAGGCTTTTAGCATAAATTCAAGTGGGCGATTCCCCCGGCCCGAACCAGTTCCACCTGCATCTCCACTTCAGCCATTGCCAGTGACCTCAATCCAGGTAACTGAATCGGGAGCAGTAGGAACAAGGGGAGTTTCCCCAGGGGAGTGAGGGAGAGTGAGCCAGCCTATAGCTAGGCGGGAGGAGGTCTGCCAGGAGTCTGGGAAGGGGGAGGGTGATGCTGGCAGCCCCAGCCTCCTGGGGTGTGGATATGGATCATCTCGAGTAGCACCTCCTTAGGGGCAAGGTTTCATACCCACCATCGCAGTTCCAGGGAGCTGAGAGTGGAAAGAGCCTCGGTGCAGGCAGACTACACCCTGGTAGGTCCCCTCAGGGAAGTCCAGGAAGTTAGGGCCTCCTTTGGGCATTCTCTGGACCAAGTGGAGGAAGGAACATCCAGGAAGGAAAGGACAAAGGGTTTGGGGTGATGGTAACTTCAGGTATTTTTTTGTAAGGAGGGAATAGGGCGTGGAGTAAGGGCTCTGATGCTCCCCACCCCTCCATAATGTAGCATGCCCATCTACCGTGCCTTAACAAACGCAAAGGGACTCGGGTGGAGTGAGAATATGGGAGATGCCAGGCAGGGCTTTCGGGATGCCCTATAACCCTTCTGGATGGTTCTTGCTTCTGCTCCCCATCCTCCCTGGGGGGTCTCAGTACAGATGAAGTTGTGGGATCTTAAATTCATTATACAGAACCTCGCTTCCCCAGGGCTTCCCTTAACCCCATCTTAGGGATACCGGTGCAGAAGCCATGTCCTGGTGCAGAAAGGATTTTGGTGGGGAGCAGAGGAGGCAGGAGTCTGGGTTCTGGGCCAGTTACCTGAAGGCATTGCGAAGTTTCTCTCCCACTGGGTATGTCCGGTCCTTCTTCTCAAACTCATCGTCGAAGAGGGTGAGGGAGTATGCGGCTCTGTCTACCACGTAGCGGGGCCTGGGCTGGCTCATATCTGGGGCATTTACAAGCTTTGGGAGAAGCAGAGGAGGGAAGGGTGAGGGGACATCCCTCCCCAGTGCCAGACCAGGCCTTCTCTCTCTGGTCCTTGCAGCAGCAGAGTTTTATTCTGGCCTTCCCCACCCCCATAAAGCAAGGTGCCTCCCTTCCTCTGTCAGGTTTTTCCGTGAGACTCCCTTCTCAAGGTGGCCTTCCTTCCCAGCCGCTGATGATGCATACACTCGCCCTGGCTGTTTTGCTTGGCGCTCAGCACGTGGCTGGCACTCCACACCTGTGACATCACCATCACCCCCATCAAGCAAAGGGGAGGTAGAAGTAGGAGGGTAGGAGTCCCCGCTTGATTCAGCACGTGGACCCTATTCTCCCCTGACCCCTGGTTCCCCAACAAGCCATACTTCCTCCCCAGACCCCGGTTTCCCTGGCAGAAAGGCTCCTACCATTCAGCCAGTCAGCTTGGAAGAAACAGAGAAAACAGCTTGCCTGGAGGCAGGGGGATAGCTGAGATGACCTCAGGAGACCCTTCTTGGATAAGACACCTAGAACTTCACCAACAGGTTTCCCAGGGGGACAATAGTGTGTCTGGGGAAACCAGGATGGTCTGCCTGCCGGCTGTGTCTCCCACGGCTTCCTGTGCCTAACCTTTCCCCCACCCTTGTGTACTGCCGCTCCTCTCCTCCTCACTTTTTGCGCAACCTGACTGACGTTCCAGGAGCTGAGTTGGGCAGAGCTGAGTGCCAGGGCCCCTGAGGCCCGGAGGAGTTCCCTGTAGGAACCTTTCCCCCTCCCTCTTCCAGCTACTGGGCCTCCCACCTCCCCTCTACCTTCCAGAGCTGGGAGAAGTTGCTTGGAGGACCGCAGAGAAAGAAGGGCAGAGAAGAAAGAGATGGGGCAGGCTTAGAGTGAGGATTTGTATCTGGCAGGTGGGGAGTGTGGGGTGGCTGTGGCCAGTTTTGCAAAAGATTTGAGATGGGGTTGAAAGTGAGTAACTACATGGGGGCTAGAGATGCCCCCAGCTTCCTAGAAGGGAGCCTGGGTGAGTGGGGAGGTTGTCAGAGGGGAGCAGGTTGCTTAATGTCTTTTGTAAAAGGGTCCAGAAGCCTGGGTTAGTCCTGCTTTAATTGAGGACGTGGGCCAGGCAACATTACTTCTCGAACCTCAGATTCAGTATCCATGAAGTGGGGGTAACAGACATACCTCAAGGGTTGTTGTGAAGATGAGATGAGTTAATGGATAAGAAAGGGTTGTGTAAAATGTAAAGCCTGATGCAAATATGAGTTTCTGTTATGAACAAGATTGTGCTCAAGTTGGTGAAGGCTGGGCTGGTGCATTCCATTTATTTGGTCTTGGGATCCCGAGGTCCGCTATGAACTACAGGTGAGGGCGGGATGCCCAGCATGACCCCACAGGTCATGACCCCACCCAGCAGAAGGGAAGATGGGAGAATGAAGCTGCCCCCAGCGCCTGTGCCCAGCCCCTCGCCTGGCCCTTAGTGTGTACTCAACGAATGCTTGTAGAAAGAATTGATAAATGGTGTTTTGGAGGAGACAGGGGCAGAAATGAATAAGGGCAATGGCATGTGAGACATTTCAGTGGGAGAACTGAGAGACAGGGTGACTTAAGGAAAACAGCACAAGTTTGAGAGCCAGATGACCTGGGTTCAGACATTCAGTTTCTTCATCTGTAAATGAGAATAATAACAGTCGCAGGCAGTTGCTATGAGGATTAAGTGAGATCATGTGTATGAAGAGGCTGGGCTTTCACAGGCACCCAGCAAATGGTAGTGGCGATGATTACTATGATTAAGATGGGAGGGTGCTTTCTACCTCCTAGGAGACACTATTCAGAGGCTTCCGGCCCTTCACCCACCCGTGAGGCTGGGTGGGGTTGCCCACTCTCCACATGCCCCAGAGCCTGCAAGAGTCTGGTTGTCCAGGTGGTTTGCGTGGGGGGCTCGATGAGTGGGAAGCATGACCTCCACCCATAGGAACTCAGAGCTCCAGACCTCTCTTCAGAGAAAGACTCATGGTTTGGGGAGTCTAGCCCAGGCCACTAAAAAATATATATATGTATATATATACAGCCAACAGTTTCAAGGGGGTCTGAATCAGAAGAGAAGAGCCCTTTGGAAGAGGAGGTGATGGAAGATTTTGCTTCCACACCAATCAGCAGGCAGTGATCCCTGAAGCATCTTCCTAGGCTGCTTTCAAAGAATCTAAGTTCCAGTAGTGTGTCTGTGGGGAAGGGTTATTAGCGTCTGATTCTGCTGAACCCTGCTATCTCAGATCCCCGCCCTGATTCCCCCACATCCTCAGTGGTACCTTTCTTCCTGCCCGCATCCTTGTTCCTGTCCCCTCCCTCCCCCTCGGCCTTCACATTCAGTGTTCATCAAATCCCACTGCTATTTCCTTCCTCCCTCCCTGCCTTCCTTCCTTCCTTCTTAGCCTTCTTTCCTGACCATTGCCTCCATGCTCCACTCACCCTGTCCCACTGCTCACCTCTTCACGTCTTATCCCATACCCGGACTATCGCAAACTTGATTTGCTGGTCTCCAGCCAAGCTTCTCCAGCCCAGCCTACACTCCCTGCTTGGAAACCCCCATCTCCCTTATTTCCAGCCCAAACTCGTTATTCTGGCATTTTGATTTTTTATCCCCTGGCCTTGTATTGGTGGATTTAGGAAGTCTGTCGACTGGGTCCCTCCATATCATCTGAGCTGGTCTTTTCTGCACCCGCCAAACAAGCCTGGGTCTCTCTTCCCACTTTCTTTCTTCACCTGAGGTGCCTGACTCACTTCTGCCTTTCTAGACCTGCCCATCCTTAAGACCTGTTGAAGTTCCTCCTCCTCCCTTCTTCTCCCTCTCCTACTCCTTGCCCTCCTCCTTCTTGCCTGTGGAGCCTTTCCTGACCACCTCGCCCCTGAAGGATTTCTCTTTCTCCTGGGATCTCCACGTGCACCCCTCCAGCCTGTAGACACATGTTGGTTTTGTCCATTTTTCCTTTGGGAGGAAAGCGGCGGGGTTGGTGGACGTCCTTCAGGTGACTCAGGACTAGTTCTGCCTCTCTGGGTAGGCTCGCCTACAGATGGGGCACTAAGATGCTAGGGAGTCCCCTCTGACACAGGCTAACAGAGGAAAAGCCTCCTTGCTTTACTGGAATACGAAATCGGTCTCTTTCCCATGCCCTCTGCTCATTCCAGAAATAGGATGCTGAAGGGGAGGAGGCTCTGGAGCTTTCACAATCCGGAGTTTGCATAAAGAGGCGAACCCAGCAGCCAGTCAGAGTCAGAAAGTTTTGTGTAGAAGAGAACTTGAGGACCACGCTGGTCCAATTGTCTCGTTTTGCAGATAAAGGAGTTGCACTGGTTCCTGTTGGAAAGGGCTTCAGACCTTCCAGGGCCAGTGCTGATCCCAGGACAATGTTTTCCCTGAGTGGCATTCAGAAGGGCCCTTTCTGACCACCCTGGTGACCTTGCCACCCCAGCTGATGGGACAGGACCTCTGGGTTCTGTTACTCCTCTTGAGGGCTCTGGTTCTCCTCTGGCCTTGGTTTCCCAGGACCATGACATCCAGAGTTGCAAATCTGCAGCCACAGGAATTCCCCCAGCTCCTGGTGAGGAGGCACCCTTGACATATTTCCTAATTCCAAGAACAGGGGTTGAGGTGGGGTGGGACTGAGGAGGGGAGGTTACTTCATCCCAGCCAGCCCTTCAGGTAAGGACAAGAGGTGGAGGAAAGTGGAATGGGAGTGGCATGGTGGGGAGGAGGGGTCACAGAGAACTAGTGGGGATGGGGGGTCTCAGGAGATCAGGTCTCAGGGTCTCAGAGAGGGTGTCTCATGGTGCTAGGTTAGGGGCAGGAAGGTGGAAGAGGGAGTAAGAGAGCCAGGTAGAGGGAACGTGACAATCTGATTCCCAGTTAAAAACAAACAGCCCTGCTACGTGATGTCAGCATCGCTGGAAAAAAAGTCAAGTGCCCTATTGCCAGAGGTGTGTATCTTCGAGCCCTGCTCCCCCTTCCACCGCCTCCCATCCCCCTATCAGGTCCGGGAGAAATAGCAGGTGCCCTGTGACAATACTGAGAAACAAAAAGTGACCCTTCCCTCCTCCACTGTACAGGGAAGCGGGGCCCGGTCCCAAAGGGCTGGAGGGACTTAGGGGAATTGTGGGACTTAAGGGGAGTAGGGGGTGAGCCAGGGAGAGTCGAGGGCAGGTGAGGGTGCATGGACCATTCTGCACCCTGGCAGGAGAGTGGGCCAGACCTGGAGCAGACGGGATGCAGGGGTCCTGCAAGGTGGAGGAGCCGGAAGAGGGGAAGGAAAGGGAAAATAGACACTGTGGGGTGGGCACAGGCTGGAGCAGATGCCCTCCTGGGTTTCTCCAGGACTTCTCCTCCAATGAGCTCATGCCAAGCAAGCCCCAGTACCTCCTCCCAGTCACATTTCTGACCAGGTCTCTGTCAACACTATCCGAATACTGTAGGCAGAGGTGGGCTCATGCAGAGACAGGGTGGGGTGCAGATGGGCTCAGGCGGAGACGAACTCAGGCGGAGATAGTGCCTGAGTGAGTGGATGCACTGAAAGGCTCGGACCGGCACCTGGCAGTAGGAAGCATGCAATAAACTCTGACTACTATCGCTACTGCTGTGACTCCGGAGGAGCCTCTTTCTGGCTCTGCCGTCTCTAGCAGGCACTCTGCCTTTTTTGGCTTTCCTTTTTCCATCTGCCCTTATACCCACTTGCCCCCTGCCTTAACCCCTCCAAATTTTCCTGAGACTTGATTAGAGGAACAATAGAAAATCTTGTGAGAAGAGGGTAGACCATCTGGGGAGCAGGACGGTGAGGGGCCCTTTTGTGGGTTCTGGTCAGGTCTGGAGGTGATCCTGTCACTGTGGCCCAGGCTGACTTGACCCTCAATCTTGCCGGGGGTGTGCATGTGGGGGTGGGGGTTTTTGACGCACGTGTGCCAGGCACAGGAACAGGCCAACCCAGCCTGGTGTCCTTATCACTCATTCCTAGCCGGCTGGTTGCTGTATTCTGGGAAGAGGAAAGGTCACTTTGAGGTTTCCCCTTTGCTCTAGCTGCTGGTTGCCTCCCCTCCTCATCCAGGGTGGGGGCCACGGGGCAAAAGCAGCCTCTGAGTGACCCAGATGTGAATGTAAGCTGGGATGGGCAAGCCGGCTGGGGTCTTAGTGGGACACTACATCCCTGGCAGGAGGAGGGAGCAGGTAGAGACCTCTGTACCCCCAAGGCTTTTTTTTTTTTTTTTTTTTTTTGAGATGGAGTCTCCCTCTGTCACCCAGGCTGGAGTACAGTAATGAAATCTCGGCTCGCTAACCACTTCCTGGCTTCAAGCGTTTCTCTTGCCTCAGACTCCCCAGGAGCTGAAATTATAGGCATGCACCATGACACCCAGCTAATTTATTTTTGTATTTTGAGTAGAGATGGGGTTTCCCCATGTTGGTCTGGCTGGTCTCGAACTCCTGACCTCAAGTGATCCAAAGTGTTGGGATTACTGGCGTGAGCCACCACGCTTAGCCCCCCAAGGCATTTTTAAGCACCCCTCTTCCTTCTACTGTCCTTGTGTGTCCAGGGCAAATCTCTCCCCACTTCTCACCCCAGCCTAATTTCCTCATCGAGTCTGGGGGAGGATGAGATGTCCCTAACGTGTCTTCCCACTCTCTGGCTGTCCTACAGACTGCATCCCATGTCGGGGAGAGATTCACTGATACCACTCCCCAAATCCCCACCCCTTATCTCCAGGCGGACTCTCCCTCCCTCTGCGCTTTCCCTGCTGGGAATAGGTGCAGGGCTGAGGAAACAGGCTCCAGAAAGAAGGGACTGAGGCTGGACTTTGAGAATCACTTCCCAACACTGAGGCCTGACAAGGTCATGGGCTCCTTGGAATGGACACTTGAGGTTAAATTCCTAGAAGTCTTTGAGGAAGCTGGGGCTGCTTTCACTTGGAAGCAGGGCCTGGGCAAGGAGACCAGCGAAGGGCCCAGCTGCTCTGGTCCCAGAAATCCAGGCTTCCCACCCAGTGAAGATCAACTCCCCTTGAAGGGGTGGCCCTGCCCCTTCCATCTTCCAAGTAGTGACCCCACATCCCCCAGAGCTTGGTCAGTGTTGAGCTGATCCTCGATTCCCGCAAGCTCAAGGAGGTGGGAGTCTGGCTGTTTAGTACGGTTTAAGAGGTGCTCTTGAATACTGGGTTTATGCCAATCTCCGGAAGACTCTGGGCATTCAAAGATAAAGAGGAGTCCGTCTCTGCCCCAGGGTTTATACAAATGAGACTAAGAGCAGGTGGCTGGCTCTGGGACGTGCCTGGGGAGGCCATCCTGGCATTGGAGGTGCTCCTGGGGCCTGCTGGTCTTGGTGCTGCCCAAGCAGGGTCTTCCCAGGTTCTGAATGCCAGGGGAGGATGAGGGAGGTGGCGGAGGACTGTGGGGCTCTGAGGGAGGGTCATCTGGATGAGTGAAGCCACTTGGGGGGAAGGCCTCCCTCAGTCTGCCCACGTGGGGGGCTGTGTCACACCAAGGTCTTCCTTCTGGTGCTTAGACCTGCGGGGTAAGTGTAAGGAGGAGGTAGATGCTGGAATAATAAAAGCGTTGCCAGGCCTCAGCTGGCGACCCTCAGGGCTGATTTTGAGGAATGGAGGCACTGCCTGAGAATGGCTTGGAATCCCTTGGAGCTGCAGGCTGAGGGGTTTGGAGGCTGAGACCCTGGGGAGCTGGCTGCCCATCCACTGACCTGGCCCCAGCCCTTCTGTGTTGAAGCACTCACCATGGCGTAGGGCATCCCAGGTCCAGCTACCGCGCGCCCGCCTGCCTGATGGAGCTGGCCCCTTGCTCACCCTCTCCCACTCCTCACTTTTCCTCCCCCTCCCCCTCTTCCAACTTCTCAGGACTAATGGGGACACATGGGATCCTGTGTAGTCTGTGCTGAGTTCCCGAGCTGGTGGAGAAGTCAGTGAGTGAAGAGGGTGTCTCGGGGGTAGGAGGAGGGGGAGACAGCCATAAAGAGTGGGCTGGTGAGCCAAGCCAAGAGCGTTCACCTCCAAGATGCGAAAAGAGAGGGAGAGGAGCAGCCTGCAGCTTCAAAGGCTGGCGAGGAGGAAGGTCTAATACTCTCCTTTCCCTAGAAGACCTTTGCCTCGCTCTGTTTCGGGTCTGGCGACCTCCTCCACCACACCCTCGCCCTGCTTGCCCCCTCAGCCAAGCTCAGCCTTGCAGCCCAGGTCCACACATGGACGTGAAGACCCGAAGGGCTCCTGAGAGGGGAAGGGCTGGAGGCTGCTCTCAGACTCCAGGGGACAGAGTGTCCTTCCTACTGGTGCTCAGGTGGGCAGTTGGCTCCTGTCATCCCTCCCCTCGGTACCCCTGGTGCCCGCCCCCTTGCAGGGATGGCCCCAGCCCCATGGGGTGGGCTGGGTTGGGTGGGGCTTACCGGTGGGTGAGCAAAGCCGGCTGGGCAGGGCTGCAGGTGTGTCTGGGGAGCAGGCAGCCGAAAGGTGCTCCTGAGGTGTGTGAAACGGCTCTGCTCAAATAATCCAGGGAGGCGTTTATAAATAACTTTTCCTCAGGGCCACGGGGTGAGCCCCGGCTTCTGATTGGCTCAGAGGGGAAGTGGTTTTGAACACTACACCATAGCTAAGCCGGGGGAGATAGGAAAAGGAGATAAGGGGAAAAGGTCCCAAATGAACAGCACTTTTTTTGTTTTACCTGGGGAGCAGGGCTGTTTGATGGGAGCTTGGCACTTCCTAAATCCACCCCAAAGACAATAGGTCACATTCAGCGGGGCTCCTGCCCCACAGGCTCCCCCAAGGCGGCCAGGAGGAGGGGGACGAGGCAGAGGAGGGGCACAAGGCAGGCTCCTCTGAGCTTGCTGTCCTGCTGCTTATGGGGCTGGGGGTCAGGCCAAATAGCCTCTGGGACAATGGGAGCTATTGAGGCCACCCGAGGGCTGTGCTCTTAGGTCTGCTTGCTTTGAAGACGGGAGATCTAGGGGGTGGGAAGAGAGTAGACCTCTGAACACCCCTGGGGAAGGGGAAGAACCGTGTCTGGGAGGCCCTGGGAACCTTTAGGAGGTTTGCAGTGGTGGCAGAGACCTGGTCCCCAGTTCTGTCCCCAATCTTAAGTCGCTTGTGAGCTCTATCCATCAGTACAATGGGAAGTATTCCTGGCCCTCCAGGTAGTGTGCAAAGAGAACCCAGGGGTTTGTGATCTGGTAAAAGAGCTTAAGAAACTGGACTTAAAACCATTATATGAGAGATGACCTGAAGCCTAGCAAATCTCCGCTTCACAGGCCTCTGCGGCTTCCAGGAATCAATGTCTCCCTGGGTCATGGCACTGCTCTGGCTGCTGCCAGCTGAGCTGCCCATCCCAGGCCCATTGAGTACTGCAGAAGGACCTCAGAGAGCAATTCTGGACAGGGGCTGGGAGGAGGGTGGAGGAGTTTCTTGATTTACCTCCTGGGAGGGAGAGTCCCTACCTGACATCAGATGCCCTTTCTTTGAGACATCAAGAGCTACACTGTCCTTGTCCTCAATTGTCCCCCCATCTCTCCAAAAGAAACCAGAGGCTCTGAAGTGGTCTGGAATCAGTGCAGGGGGCATCCGAAAGGCACCCCTAAAAGCTGGGGCAAAAGTTCCCCAAGGTGAAACGAGCTAGCTTCAGTACGTAACAGGGACTCAATAAATATTTGTTAAATGAATAAAAGAGTGAATTGCCTGCAAGCCCAACCCAAGGGATAGTTTGTAGCTGCATTGTTGTGGGGACTAGGGAAACACCCGAGGTCACGCAGAGTTGTCAGGGTGTAGCCAGAATTCAAGTGACCCAAGTGTGCCCTGACACCTGGCTGAGGGAAGGATGTGTGCGTGGACACTGCCTTGGGGAGCACTTCCCCAGAGCCCTGTGTGGACTGAGCTGCCATGTTGCACCTCCCTTCCCATGGCGTCCTCTGCTTCACTCTCGTAACACTAACCACAGTGAATGGTAATTATGCTCGGAATTGTCAGTCTTTCTCCGAACACCGTGAATTCCCTGAGGAGGGCACGCGGGCAGTGCTGTTTTGTATCCTTACCCATCTAGCCCAGTGCCCGGCGTTTAGAGGAGCTCAATATAGATTTGTGGAATGAATGAACAGTTATACGATAGTCTTTACACAAAGCAGAGCCAGAGGGTGAGACTTTGTCCATGCATCTTCAGTATTGCCCAGTGTCATGGGTAACCTGACCTGTTCTAAACTTTGGCCAGGAAATTCCTAGAAAGCAGATGAGTCATTAAGTTTTCCTATAGCCAGGTGATAGTGGCCATCAATATCAAACAACTAAGTTCCCTGGCTGAGACACAATGTCCACCAGAGAATCTTCTGGTTGTACGTCCTTCAGGGAGGAGAATGTACTGCCCAGCTGGCTGGAGCGTCTAGGGCTGCTTTTGCAGACATGCTTCTCTTTTAAATGACCCATGGACATTCTGGGCTACCAATTGATCCAGTGTGAGTTTTATTAATGTGAGTTAGTACCTCCTGAGTCTGACCTACTTTCCATAGTAACACTTGGTTTTCACACAGGTTATTTGGTTTAATTCTTATACCAACCATATAGGCACGTTAGTCTCACTTTTTGATGAGTAAACTGAGGTTGACTGAAGTGAGATAACTTGTTCAAGCTCACAGAGATCTGGATGGACGAGACAGGAATCTAACTGGGCTAAAATGGCTTCAAATCCTCTGCTTAGTCTACGATGTCATCTTAACCTTTGAGCCCGCAAAGCTAAGGATTTGATCTTATACAAGACCTTACCTTTTTAGATACTGTCGGACTCCCTTGCAGATATAACTCCTAATGTAACCTGGATGGAGATGTCTGGGGCCTCCAGGATACGTGCTGGAGTTGGGAACTTCTTGTCTGCTCTCAAAACTTTTCTACTGTCTCAGCAAATTTCTGGGCAGGTAGCCCTTACATCACAGGGGCAGTAGGGATAGATGAACTCAGAGATTCCTCTGACGTCACCAAGGAAGATGGACAGCGGGCTCAGAATCTGGGACCAGTCATTGGTGGGAGGCCCAGGAAGAAGGAAACCAGACTAGAGGCTAGGGAAGCAGAGGACAGGAGGGAGAGTGTCCCTGATGGCTGAAAGGCATCTTAGGGGTATCTTGGGTAGAATTAAACTGTGGACAAATTTAGGGTTGATGGAGAGAACACAAAGATATAGAGAGACAGGTGACAGAGAGACAAGTGACAAAAACATAGACAAGAGGTGATAGAGACAGAAGATCAGAAACAAAGAGAAAGGAGCAAAGGACACATTAACAGCCATAGCAGCTCAGCCTTGAGTTTTGCTAAATCATCTGTGTTTCATGATGAAAGCAGATGAACAGCAACCCTATGCCACTCTCTGGAGCACTACAGAGAATCCTTTGGAAGCAACTTCACCCCCACCCCAGGGTGGGATGCTGCATTCATTCGCTCATTCATTCACTTGAAACCCCTTGTTGAGTGCCGGGATCCTGTGGACAGTGAAATAAATTAGGCACAACTCCTGTCCTGAAAAGATCTCACAACCTGGTGAGGAAGACAAGAAGGTCAAGAGACTGTCATAACACAGAACACAGGGTGCTATGGAGTGCCGGGGAGAGGTGCCCAGATCAGCCCTCCAGGGCATGGAGAAGGAACCGGGAAGACCCCAGCGAGAGGAGGACAGGAAGGACTGTCACAGCTGCAGCCTGGACACCTGAGCTACAGACTTCAGGCCGGGGAGGACTCCCAGGAGGAAGCAGGATGGCGACTGCCCCTGGAAGCACTGTTTCTAGAAGGGCTTTCCAGCTGGTTCCCGAGTCCTCTTTGATTTCTGAACCCACCCAGGATTCTCTGCCTTAAAGCCCATTCCTGTGTTCCGCTGTGATCCAGAGCTTGCAACCACACACACACACACACACACACACGCACACACACACACGCACACATACACACACACACACAGTCACACATGACACTGAGTTATGCAGATAAAGCAAAGGATTCCTAAGGTTCCCTCCTGACACATCTCACCTTTGAGCTGGTCCTGCTAAGAAACAGCTGTTTTCCAGATGAGCAAACCCAGGCTAGACCTGCGAGGAGAAGACGAACTCTGCCACCTCTGTCCATCCTTGAGCCTCTGGTCTTATCTGCACCTGCTGGCTTCTTGCACGTGTGCCTGTGTGGGTGCCAAGGGTGTGGGCAGGAACATGTTTTGGGCAGAGCAGCCCAGTGCTTAAGCAAACACCTCAACGCTGAAGACAGGAAAGTCTTCACCACCCTGCCCTGCAGCGGCAGGATCTGACCTGGCCCCGCGCGCGCCTGCCAGGTTCATGAGTGCATGAGAACTGGTGGGATTGCAGAGGTACCCAGGGAGAGATGAATCCTCACTTCTCTCCCATGGGAAGCCCAGGGGCTCAAGTACCCCAGCTGTGCATATCTTAGGCTGGTTAGGAGTCATGGAAGGCAAGGTGAGTAGGGTGATGCCAACCAGCACTTGGTCTTTCAACACAGGAAACCTGAGCTCCTACCATGCATCCAGCACTATGCTTGGCATTGGGCACGCAAGATCCAGTGAGAACCAGTCCTTGGGAGATCAAGACCCTGGTGGGAGCAGGCAAAGGAGGCTTCTAGAACACACACAATGACAGAGCTGGGGAACAGTATGTTAGGAGGAAACTTATTGTAGACTGAGGTGGCCAGTGTCTGGAAAGATCTTGTCTGGAGACGGCCAGGGCACCATGGGCCATGATCCCTGCACATCTGTGGCCAGAGGAAAGGACAGGTCACAAACCACAGAACATGAGACGAGAACAAGGCCTTACGGTCCATCTGGTTCACCCCCTCATTTTACATATGAGATACCCGAGGCCCCAGAGAGGGCCAGGGACCTACCCAGAGTCACCGAGAGAGATGATGGCAGGGCTGAGGAGATGGCTCAGGTTGGTGCCTGCCTCAGGACCCTCCACCCTGGTCCCGGAGCACAAACCAAGCCCTCTCTCCGCAAAGGGGCAAGAAGTCATGTGGGGACCTCCTTCCGTTCTCCACATGCTCATTACCCAGACACACCCCGTGCACCGAGGTGGGCCTGTGCTGGCTGCCACCGCAGAGGGATTGTTCTGCGCATCTGAACTCTGGCCAACTTTGTTAAAGGAGTGGTTTAGGGTGAGGGTTGGGGGTGTGGGGAAGCAGATCTGCAGCGTCAGGGCTTGGGAGCCCAGGGGGATACAATTCCTAGGTGGGCGGGTCCTGCAGCTTCTAGAAGGAGGAAAGGATTTTGCTCAGAACCAGAAATTGGTGGCCTGGGTGAGGGTGTTCAGGGCAGTTCACACTGCCCTGGGAATGCTGAAACTGGGGTTGGCGCTTGGGAGGGGGTGAGTTCCAAGCGGTTAATGTTGACTGATGGGCCTCCTGGCTGCAATTCTGACACTAGGGCCTTAGGCCAAGCACATATTAACCTGGGTATGGGAGCTGCTTCTAAGGGTGGGATGTAGACCCCCAATGCAGGGCTAACTG